TAAAAATGAGTTTTGTAACTTTTGGATGCTTTTACATTAGATGAAATAGTGGAACATATATACGGTTTTCTTAAATTGAAGAATTAATCTGCTAGTATGCAATACTTTAAACTATTATATCTTTGAGATTAATGTGATAACTTTTTTTTTTAAAAAAATGTGTATACATTAAGTGGTGCATTGGTAATCATTTGTTGCTGGGATTTTTTATATGCTTATTTCAGCTATATTGAGTTGATATATAAATATAATAAAAGTAATTTTGAGTATTAAAGTCACAAGGATGGATGTTGTTATTTTACTATCATTATATTGAAAAACTTCTTAAGAAGTTTGACATTTCAATGTTAAAATGTGAATTTCCCTTATGGCTTTGATATAAATAAATAAATAAAATGTGAGTGTGTTACAATTAAATGTGTGTGACATTTGATAATTTTAAAATGCTGAAATTGAAGATTGAACCAATATATGAAATCCAAATGTGATGGTTGGGATACCTTAAGTTATTGAGATATTCGAGAGGTATCATTAATTATGGTTCAGATTATCCGTTGTCATATATTGATACAACGATGATATGTTTAATTGAGAAATATCCGTTGTACTATAAAGGTACAACGATGTTATATATGAGAATTATCCATTGCACTATAATGATACAATGATGATATATATTTCATTGAGAATTATCCGTTAGGATATAACATAATAACATATTAGTGAAATTATCCGATGAACACAAGTGTCACATCGATGTATATTTTGTTGAGAGTTATCTGTTGTATTGCCGGGATACAACGACGTAATATGAGTCGACTCACATGAGATAAAATAGTGGATATCCATTCACCCTTAAAAGTGGTGAAATGATGTTTGAGAATGGAATTGTTCCATTAATTTTGTGAAGTTAAAAGAAATTAGCTACTCCTTTTGATAGAATCCCTAGGACGTTAAATGATAAATTTAAACATCGAAGGAAATGGACTAATGTCACTTTGATAACAAATAGGGATAGGAACCAAACTTGTGTGATTGGAGATCCCATGAAGCAAGTTCATATGGGTAATAACAAGTCTTCTATTTGTTCTGCTAGCCTTGTAAAATGTCCATTTCTATGATGTGGAAGGCTAGACTGCATCTCTTTGTGAGGTTGAGTTAAAACTCTTAATGACTGTCATAGCCCTTACGGGTGGTGTGTTAAGTGCGGGACACACTTGATGAAGTCACCTATATGAGTGTGAGGTGGGGCCGCCTCCATGAAGCATTGACAACGCTTCTAGAGCACTCAAGAAAACCAAGCACGCGCACGGCCTAGAGGCGCACAACGGCGTTAACGACGAGAAAGGTGGGGGGTGAAAAATGATCCCCTAAGACACTGACTTACCATAGTAGATTATTGGTTCATAGAAACTATACGTTTCACCAATAAACTCGGTATTTAACGACTTAGGCGTCTAGGTCTGGTTCAAGTCTACGGACACCACATTGAAAAACCTCACCCCATATTTGAACCCAGTAAGGAATTACTATTTTCAAATACATAAAAAGTATTCATTTGAAATATGTGGGGGATTGTTGGAAATATTGGATTATTTCAAATGAATAAGTTGTTAATTATTTTTGTGGGAAATTTATCATGACTCATAAGACCATTTTACCCCTACACTTAAAGTTACTACGTATTATTATTTGACATTAAACCATGGAGATGTTAATTGTTTTCTAACGTTGGGCACTAACGATAGTTAATGCAGTAACGTTTTGTATGGATATAATGATATTTACTCTTTTGTTTTTATACTATTTAATTCTTTTTTTTTTTGACCAATATACTATTTAATTCTTACTTTAATCACATTAAAGTTTATGATGCTTCATATACCTCATGTCTGATTTCAATTGAGTGTGCTTATATATACATAACGTTGCAACCGGCCGAGAGTAGATAGAGAGATTAGAAAGCAATAATAAAAGACTTGGCATGAAATTAGTGGATTATTGGAGGGAGATTAAAGTTGTTACAAGACTCAAGGAGTAACAAAGTGCTTCTTAATGTGCTACCCTAAAATCATACTTTTATTATTGGGTTCATATACTAACTTTCTTCTCGTTAGTTCTGGTACCAGTTTTAGAACCGAAGGGCTCGTTATATCTTGGGGGAAATTTCCGTACGCCGGAAATAATTCCTTAGGACAGCGTCTGACGCGTCTCGATCCACTAATATATTTTTAGTTCGTTTTAGCGATTATTTTGCAGATCAATTCTCGGAGCTAGATAGTCAAAGAGGTCAGCCTAAGGGCAACACGGTCAACACGTACGTTGATTTTCGAGGGATAGAGCCAACAGTTTTATCTCCACTGGAAGTAGAGCTGATTGGCATTAGAGAGGCGTTGAGCTGGATGAAAGAAAGAAGTTGGGATCGTGTTGAGGTGGAGTCAGACTCTTCGGGGGCAGTGGCGGAGGTTCTTCAGGAGTCGAGTATCTCTTTAGCAGGGATTATTGGTGGCGATATTCGAGAGATAAGTTTGGGTTTTACCGATATCTCTTTTACTCATATAAGACGGTTAGCGAATAGAACGGCTCACGAGTTAGCTAAAGCCGCTTGTTCTATGTGTGACTGTATTTGTTGGGATGATTTACCTCCTTCTTTCATTATACATGTACTGAACACTGATTCTATGAATGAAAATTAACTGTTTCTTCTTCAAAAAAAAACAAAAGGGGATCCGCACAATCCTCCATTCGTTCTACAAAACTTAAGAAAAGTTTAACATGCACGTAAAATAATAAAGAAAAAAAATTATGTGACTGTTTGACAACACCATTTTCGGCTTATCAGCTAACTCTTTCACTAAACACATAACTTTTGCTTTCACGCGATGAATTGTGTAATAACCAATAAGCAAAAAAATTAAGGTTGGAGTTACTTTTTTTTCGGCTGTATTGGCTGAAGTTACTATAGATGATCATTTTAGCTATTTTTACATGTAATATTTTCTTTATTTTATTAAGAAAATATATTTTAAATTTTTTTTCTTAAATCAGCAGAATAAGCCAATGCAGCCACTTCAGCCAGAACATCATAAATATCTATAGAATCAGTCAAAACAGTCGATTTTCGTGATGTCAAACGAGTTCTATGTGTTTGAGATTTGTAATAAGGGGAAAGATTTATTTTTAATCACCTATTTATTTATTACTTTAAATACAAATGAAAAAGCTTTTAGGAATGATTAAGGAAATTTGGGGAAATGTTGTGGGAGAGAGGGAGTACATTTATGTGCTACCAAATTGAACGATCAAGTATGAACACACCAATCAACACACATGCCTTTAGGATGTTCTTTCAAGTTCACATTAAGATGAACTGAATTGAAAAAGAAAAACGTGAGATCATACTCAACTTGATCTTGCTATATCACTACATGAAGTGAAGCCATGCATATGAATAACGAAACATGATGAAGAAAAAATTTAACCAATGATTGAACAATTGACAACAAGACCGGTGAAAGAACAAATAAATAATTGTATAAATGAATGATGGTGATAAAGTGTTAAAACATGAACTATAATCTTGTATAATGAAATGAAACATATTTCCAATTGGGTTGCTTTAAGATGTTTTCTTTTGAACCGTTTTCAGTCCCAGACCAGACCAGACCAGATCAGACCAGACTAGACCAGACTTCCGTAGTTATAAAATACACAGAGACCAGACGTTTACCAGACCAGACCAGACCAGTTCAGACCAGACCAGACCAGTTCAGACCAGACCAGACCAGACCCGTTCAGTCCAGACCAGACTAGACCAGTTCAGACCAGATCAGACCAGATCAGACCAGACCAGACCAGACCAGCAAATTTCAGTCCAAAAGAAAACATCCTAAGTCCCAAACAAGATCGGGTCTATTTAAAAATAAATCAGATAATGTCAAGTCATACTAGATTTAGATAATACTCCCTTTATATTGTCTCATTATACCTTTTCGGGTAGTACTACATGAAGCAGAGATCAGAAGCAGAAGTTGGAGTGTTTGTGTGAAAGTACAGAAACACTTCTTGTGTTCTAATTTGCTCCTATAAACAGTTTTTTCAAAAGTTGCGGGAGACCAGTTTCTAAAAATTGATTTTGATTTTGCTTCTGTTTTAAAACAGAAGCAGAATAAGTTCTAAACGCCCGCATAGTAATACAAACATTTTAAGCAACCTGGCCAGTTTAATTTAATGTAGATTTATAAAGACTGGATCAAAGATTGTAGTCCAAGAAAAAAACATCTCATATACAACCAACAGCCACATTACGAATCCGTTTGGTAGAACGAAAATCGGCTGACTTGGCTGAATCTAGTGAAATTTATGAAATTCTGGTTGAAGTGACTACATTGGTTGATTCTACTGATTTAAGAAAAAAAATTTATTATTAAAATAAAGAAAAAATTATATGTAAAAATAGCTAAAATTACCATCTACAGTAATTTCAGCCACTACAGTCAGAAAAGTAACTTCAACCTTACTTTTTCTGCTTATTACACAATTCAGCGCGTGAAAGTAAATATTACGTGTTTGGTCAAAAAGTTGACCGATAAGCCTGATAAGTCGAAAAATAGTGGTTCCAAACGGCCTCTACAAAGGCGGAAAGAGTAAAAATTTGGACCAAGTTTACTCAAATTAACTCTATCTCTTTTTTTTTGACAGTATGAACTCTATCTTTTTAAGAGCCTAAAAATGGATATATTAATTGGCTTATGTGTCCTTGTCGTCCCAAGCAAAAGTCCGGCTGCTAAATGAACCGGCACTCTCTGTTAAGCTAAAATCCACCACAGTAAAATCAAACCAACTGCACCCAAACTTAGAAAACCAATTTAAGACAGTTTAAGATTTTTCTAATAAACAACTGAGTTGAATTGACTAATTGAAACTGAAATTAGTCAATAGTCTCATTTATTTACTTTACATTTGGAGAAAACTTGAACATAAGCTTAACAAAAGGGAACAGACAAACGTGGCATGTATTGTACTCGCAATAACAAGTATATATAATAATTGAGATGTTGAAAAGAAAAGGGGAGTGAGTAGATAGCATATAGGTACGTAGTCCAAGCAGTGAGGCAAAGCAAAGCAAATCAGGCTGCTAAATTAATTACTTTAATTATATTTATAATTTATAATTATAATTATTTAGAGGCATGAGGAAGAATAACAACAATCATCATCACCATCATCATGGTCAGGGAGGCGGCCGTTCAAGCTCTTCCTGCGCCGCCTGCAAGTTGCTGAAGCGGAAGTGCGTCCCCAACTGCCAGTTCGCCCCCTACTTCCGCTCCGACGACCCGAAGAAATTCGCCAAGGTCCACAAGGTCTTCGGCGCTAGCAACGTCGCCAAAATTCTCAACGAGGTCCCGGAGGAGCAGCGCGAGGACACCGTCAATTCCCTCGTCTACGAGGCCGAGGTCCGCCTCACCGACCCCGTCTACGGCTGCATTGGCGCCATCGCCTCCCTCCAGCGCCGTATGGCCCAGCTCCAGTCCGACCTCCTCCTCGCCCGGGCCCGCCTCGCCTCCTACGCCTCCAAGCCCCCCGCCGCCGCCGACGCGAATTGTTGCTCCTCTTCTTCCTTCTTCAATTGCCTCCCTCACGCCGCCATCGCCGATTTCCCAGTTTCCTTCGCGGATGAATTCTCCCCGTCCAGTGGATTCTGCGAGCAGAGCTCTATCGCCGTTGATCACAGTCACACCGGTGGATCTCTGAATAATCCGCAATTCGGCCATTATCCATTCCATTGGCCTTGATTAGTCGTTTCGTAATTGTGTTGTTAATTATTAGATCGATCGGAGAAATAATTACGATGGGAGACCAAGGCCAGAATGGCGCTGGAACTTCTTCAGTGGTACGCTCTTAATTAGCCTTGTTATAATATAAATATGTGTAATTAATTAATTAATTATTATGTGGAATGGAGTAGATGAACGTAGGCTGTGGTGAAATTTGAAGCCACAATTAAGTTCAGTTATGCAGCACGGAAACACCAGCGTTATGTTTCAGTTTCGGAAATTCTACGAAAACACTTTGAAAACTCTTCAAAGATTTCCGTTTTCTGTGACTCTCCTGTTTTCCGCGTTTTCGTGCTCTATAGGTCCAGATTGTTCATAGCTTCAGGTATTAATTGAAGAAGAATGAATTGCTATTTTCAGTATTTTGCTATGCCTATTTCATTGAGAGTAGTTTCTGGGTAAAAAGACGTTTCAATTAGTGGTAGATGAATGGCTGAGATTGTCCTTATCATCATGTGTAAAGTACTATTTCCGGAATGATGATATCTCTCCTTCGCCGTGTGGGTGTATATACACAGAGGAGGTGTCAGAATGAGAGGTCTTCTTCCTATTACACAATCAAACAGAGTAAGTACTATGTACTGCAAAAGTCAGATTCACCTTTCTTTGATTTACATGTCATTAAGATTTAAGAGAAACGTGTTTGGTTGTTGAAATGGTTAGTCTTCGGGGATTTCTTTGGTCCGAATGAGAGATTGACCGCCGGGATAAAATGCTCCACATCGAGTTAGTGTGATTATTAAACAACACTGAGTTAACGTTACTGAATTGATAAAATTAGAATACAGTAATGACGATTTAGAATAATACTAGGTACAAACGTTATGAAATTTAGTATTGAACTGTTTTAGTGGGATGTATAAAAAGGAAAGATAGAGAATTGTACGGGACGGAAGGAGTAATTTATACCAATTGTGTCAAAAAAATTATACTAAAAACCCATCCATTTCTCTTTCTCTCTCTCATTAAGATTGTTCTATTTTGTTTTTCATCTACTTTGTTCTACTTTGTTTCAATGAAAATGGCATGAGCCCTCTTGACCACTCTTAGAGAGACAAACGTAGTATTTAGTTGTTCAACATAACTTTTTCTTGTGGTGTATAAATCTTCTCGTACTTTCTTTATGGACTTTCTAAAATAGTGAGTTAAAACATGATAATTTGGTCTCCGATGTACATTTTCATTTTGGCAAGAAGCTATCAAGATAAGTGCAGAAAAGATCTCATTACAAAAGAGGTAAGACTTTTCTTTTCACTTTGATAAGATGACATTACCTTGATTTCAATGTGTATCCTCTCGGTATATATTACTCCTACTTTTCGCAAATAAAGTCACACTTTCCTTTTTTGGATGTGACAAAATAAAAGTTACACTTCGTATTACTTCCCATTTATGAAAGAAAATTATATCAATACAGTAAAAAACAGTGCAAAGCAATGCCAAACAGTGTTAAATAGTGTCAAGCAGTGTCAAACAGTGTACTCTACAGTAAAACTTACCCCTCAATAAATTCTTTTCCTAAATCTTTGTGAAATCAAAGTGTGACTTTGATTGCGAAACAGGGGGAGTGCTTACTGTGTCATTATCTTTGTCTCACTTTTAATTGCTTCACAAATTTTAACTCATACACTTTTCGAAACATTCATATCTTCTCAATTTCTTTTTTTCGATCGTAACATTCATATATTTCCATTTCTAAATCTTCTCATCATACTCTCATATAATTTTGAAAATAATACACTATTACTGTTTTTAATATATCTTTCATTTCAGGACATTATTTCATTATTTTCCCATCAAACCCTCAATAATTTATACGCAGTATTTTCTTTCACGATTTTTAATATCATCTACTTTCAAACGGGAATTTATAAATGTTACGGACGTAGTATTATACTATGGTAGTATTTGTGTGAATGTAGTTAGTTATTTCATGGGACGGAGGTATTAATACTTCTAACTGGTGCCGACTCCACTTAAAAATAGTGATTTCGATGTGCATAAAACTACAAAACACATGCAAATCTTTTCGAACTATCACCAATGCTGCATTAACAATTTGAATGGTAAGACACTAAGAACGAGTGGTTTAAAAGCACTCTACTTTTATTGACACTGACCATTATCTATGTGGGGTCAAAATCAAATTAAGGCTAAAAACGAATTATATTTAGGCCTCCTATCAACAAATAATGCGGGTGATACAATTCTAATATTTGAAATGAAGCAATATTTTGCGCTGTTACCATGTCGTATTTACATACAAGTACGATCACGACATCACGTCTGTTTGCAAAATTGTTAGGATTGAGATCTCTGCAGTACGGCAGAGTGCCTTGCAGGCAGAGGTCGTCGAAGAGAAGAAATAAAGCTTCGTGATGTTGATTTCTAAATCTCTTATCATAAAAATTTTGATCGAACGGTCCCCAAAAATCGGGTACCGTGCCTTGCTCTAAGGTAAGGCAGAAGCTCCGGATCCTACTTGTTATGTTACATTTTTAGTTTTGAATGCCAAGTACATTCGGAATGAATCAAAGAACTTTTTGTATACTGATATCCTTTTATGAGTAAATTTTTAGGGAGAAATAAAATTAAATATCCTAAACGGTTAAGGAGTGACTGAGTGAGAGGTGAGTATCTCAAATGTACACATGTAATAAAACTACTTCAAAAGTGATATAAAAATTTATCTTAGCACCATTATAATAATTTTATTCTTTCACAAATGTAAACTTGTAGTGCAAAAAAATTAAAATGTAAAGTACCTTGGGCATTTATAAGGATGAAATTATTAATCTGAACTTCAACGGCATGAAATAGAACTACATATTTTTTCTTCCATCTAGTAGGACTATTTTATGTGTATTTGAACAAATATGTCCTTGAGGCTCTTGAAAGGTCTTAATTAATACTAAATTCATAAAAAAATAATAAAAAACGTAAAAAAATTATTGAAAAATTCATAAAATTGTTCTGGGAGGCGGTGGGAAAGGTTTCCGTATTTTTTATGATTTTTACTATTTTTAATAATAAAATAAAATAAAAAAAATACTCCCCCCTTCCCATTTAAAGGTTCTCATCCACTATTCACATGGTCAACTTCAATTATTCTTAACCTTTTTCTTTATATATCAAATTTTTATAAAAATTATATTTTTTTAATCAGGCTTTGTAGCGATTTTAATGTAGTTTCTGAATATGTAAATTTTATTTACTAGAAATTAGCAGAGTGTGAACAGGCATCGAGTTGTTTTATCGTCAGTCAAGCATCGTAACGCGAACCGGGAACCTCTATATGGGACTGAGGGAGTATTTTTTAATTTTTTTATATTAAAAATATTTTATTATTTTTTTATTATTTTTGTACGATTTTTAAAAAAATTACAATTTTTTACTATTTTTTAAGATCTTATTTTGAATTATACTCCCCCAGTCGCTAATAACTTTGTCAAGTTTGACCGGCACGGAGATTAATAAAGTAAAAACTGTGTGGTTGAGGTTTGTACAGAGGAGAGGGAATTAACTGGAACCACTAATTCTTTACTTAAATGGGAAAGTGACAAAGTTAATGAGACATCCAAAAAAGGAAAGTTGACAAAGTTATAACGGACGGAAGGAGTAACGTGTTAGTATGAAATAATACCCTTGAGGGCATTTTGGGTATGCTGAATTTATCTAGTCCTATTTTGGATGGTAAAAAATGTAGTAGTCTTTTTTGTGCTTTTTTTTTAGTTATTTTTAATCTTACATAGACCAATTTCTATTTTCCTAATTATTGCCATGCTTTAATACTTGGTTTTAAAACTCGTTTTTTTAATATCTCTGTTGATGCCCATTAATCCCTTTCCCCTCGAAAACCCAAAAAACTTCAATTAATAAAAGTATTCAATTTGAGAACGTGACAGTTAACTTTTATGATTAACTTTTACCAAAAAAAAGTTCCTTATGATTTAACTTTTTTGTTAAATGAGCAACAAGCTATACCGCCTATACGTAGTACGAAGTATTTGACAACAAAGTAAATTGAAAAAGTGTGCAGTGAGTGTGAGTAATATGTGTATTAACCCGCTACAAAGTTGTTTAGGGAGCTTCTACTTAATAAAAACACTTTTGAAAGTGATTAGTAGTAAAAGTTGATAGTGTTTGCAAAAAAAGTGATTTTGAAAAATATAAGTTAGTAATGTTTGATAAATAATTAAGTGCTTTTTGTGAAATAGAAAAAAATAAAACACTTTTTACACAAAAGCCGAGAAACACTTTTTAAGTAGAAGTTGTCACTTGAAAACACTAATTTTAGCTTTTTAAAACCAAAAGCCGAGAAGCGTTTTTTTTTATATCAGTCACGTTGTCTCATTCCTATATATCGAGACTAGGGCTGGACACGGATCGGGTCGGGACGGATAATGCAAAATAAAATGGAACCGCCGGTTCCATTATACAGGTCGGTCCGATCCGAGTATTGTAATTTTAAAAATAGAAACCCGACCTTACCCGGCCCGTTTGAAACGGGTCAGTCTGGTCCGGGTTTTTCGGTTCCAGTTTGTATTTCTTAAAAGTAGTAACTTACAAAGTTGTTAAGGTCTTAGCCATTCTGAATCTTCTAAATGCTAAATGCTACTCATTCTGTAATCTGTAATTCTTAGTTTCTATATTCTTAAGTATTTAAAAGTTAAATTTGGCCAAATGATTGTGTTGATTTACTCTCACCTAATTAATATATTTCCTTATCAATAACAAAGTCATATTTTACGGTTAATAAAATAGAACCTATGTGTAACAAGAATAGCAGCAAGTTAATGTTAGTCTGTGATTCTGTATAGCAGAGAAAATACAAATGATGCATTCCATGAAGAAAACACCAAACGCTTAAAAAATACGAAGTAGAAATTAATATATAACAGGCAACTCAGTAAAGGGCTAAGTTGCATTACCGTAATGGGCTAAGTTGCCACTTCCCAAACGCTTAAAAATATAAATTACATATATAACGAGCAGGGTCGGGTACCCGGTACTTTTATATTTTGGAACCAGCCCGGACTGTAAAAAATTAATACCCGCCACTACCCGGACCGTTTTGTAGTATAAAAAAATGGAACCGACCCGTTTTAGACCTGAACCGCCATTACCCGGACCGGACCGCGGTTCCATATCCGTTTGCCCACCCCTAATCGGGACCATAGCGATTAGCGACGTTGTCATGTCCCGTTTAAAATTCATTCATTTTATCCGCTCCGGTTCCGTACGGATTTAAAAGCTGACATAACCGGGATATTGGAAGGTTATCCTGAACCGTCCCGTTATCTCGTTTATAATGACTACAGAGTTTTTTTTAGCATGTGAGTAGTATGTTTCTAGTTTTTCAAACCCAATTTTACATTAAAAATAATACCTGACGTAAATATTTACTAACTTAGGTTTTCATCTCAATCAATATATTGCATATGACTATCTCACAGTTAGAATCCAATAGTGTTTGGATTTTGTAAATAGATAGCTTGTTATGAACATCAATTGAATTTTAAAATGTTACTCCGTAATATTTTGGGCGTGATACTGCTAATATATTTTAATTACAAATGATGATTTTTTGTATAATACTCTTTTGTTAGTTTGGATCTTTTGGGACGTCTTGAATCGTTGTGAATCATTTCAGACTCGATTTAAACGGGACAAGGATAGGACAAAAACATGTCTCATACGTTATTACTATTTGGGTTGGAAGTTGGACTAGGATAACCCTCATCTAATGGCCATTATTCATTTGTTCCCTTTATATTTTGTCACATTCCATTAGAAATTACTGCATTCCGGAAGTCAAAATAATCAAATCATCATTTTTAATACTTCTAATAGAAATTACTTCTATTACTTCATTTGTACCTTAATGCTTAAGGTACACAAAATGTGTACACATATCTGTCCTTTACAGACATAAATTGTCTGTGACAGATAACTTGTCAGTGAAGGACAGACATGTGTACACATTTTGTGTACCTCTAGCAAAACTCCTTAAAATGCATTTGTAGTAGATCGATGGTTGGTGGCTTGGTGCAGCAGGCGGCTGCAAGAGGGTGGCAAATGGCGGGGTGAAAATAAAAATAAAATAAAACAAGAGAAGCAATAGAAAACTAAAAACATTAATAATCATGTTCGATAACCATATTGTACTTGGAGTTATATGTTCAGTGAGCAGCTACTTCATTGGACATTGGTACACACCTAATTGAAAATTTTGAGATCGTTTTTCCAATAAAAATAAGAACTGTCCACAATAATATTGACCAAAATCAGACTCTGCATAAAATCAGACTAATGTGGATTACGTATTAGAGCCCGTTTGGAGACTTCTTTTTTCGGCTTATCAGGTTTATCAGCCAGCTTTTTCACCAAACACGTAATTTTTACTTTCGCGTGCTGAATTGTGTAATAAGCAGAAAAAGTAATGTTGGAGTTACTTTTCTGGCTGTATTGGCTGAAGTTACTGTAGATGACCATTTTAGCTATTTTTACATGTAATTTTTTCTTTATTTTATTAATAAAATATATTTTTAAAATATTTTTTTCTAGAATCAGCAGAATCAGCCAAAACAGCCACTTCAGCCAGAACTTCATAAATTTCAGCAGAAACAGCCAAAACAGCCGATTTTTGTGCTACCAAACGGGCTCTTAGTTCTTCATCCTTCTCAATAATTTAAGGTTCTTATTTACGTTTTTTGAATGTTCATATTAAAAGTTTCAATTTACATTTTAGGAAATAATTAATACTCTTAAGTGCTAACTTAATTATCAAATATTGAAAATAATACATACTAGAATGTATTATGTGAGTGTTTGGATCTACTTTTTAAATCCGCTTTTACTTTTCCAGGAAACAAATACAAGTGTTCTAAATGACTCATAAAAGCATATTTTTATAAGATTGGGACCAGCTTCAAAAAAACAAATTTTAGTTCTATTTTTTTAATATCACAATCAACTCTAAATGCCCCTACACATCCATCAAAATTATTCTTCAATATACATTCAAATTATTTTGTTTAATTATTGTCTACATAAATATATCATTTTTGAATTTGTCTAAATAAATATGACATTTTTAATAGGAACCTCAAATCACCAAAAGATGTAATAATATGATGAATGGAAGAAACGATCTAGATCATTAGTCATCGACACTCTCTCGCAAGAGATCCTAACTTTTTCAAATAAAGATACTATAGTACCCCATTTTTGGTACCCCATTTGTATATCTCACCCTCATGTGATTCACAAAAGATAATTCATTAAAACGAGGCAATTGACTTAATCGTTGGATTTTTGTGAACACAAAAGGTGAGTACAAATGGGTACTCCAAAATGGAGTACACCAAGCATAACTTGATTTCAAAACGTCACAACAGCGGTTTCAACCCCTTTACCCTAGGTCCCTCAACCCGACTTCTTGGGGTAAAAGAGGGCAAGTTTGGGGCCAGAGAGAATATATGTTTGGGTGCATGTATACTGTTCGCATGATACTTTTAATCCGTTTGTCAGCTGCGCCAAAAAAAACTATTCCTGCACATCCAACTTGATATCTGCTTTCTGTCCAGGAAATGAATATTTATAGACAGCTTACTTCTCACTTCTTTCGAACCATAACAGAATAAATATCCCGAGAATTATTACAGATTTACAAGGTACAGATTTACAACAAGTCATTAATGCCCAACAGATTACAAAGTTGCTGTTAGTATTGGTCAAATCACATATAAATATACTAAACATGGCTGCAATAAATTGGCTAAACTAGTCTGAAAGTACTTGAGATCTTTTACTGACTTCAAGAATATATAATTTACAATCCACTACATGAAATTCAATCATTTCAGTCAGTGGCACACTTCCCTACATCTTCATTTCCTGTGGATGGAAAGATATACATATCACTGTTAGTGAAAGTAAAAGGTTTAGAAATAAATCAAACATCTGAATAAATCAACGTGTTTTTCTAATGAGTACCAAGGACGCATTATGAGAACAATTACTATGCGCCAATTTCAGCTACATTGTCTACATCTGGGGTCCATGAGCACATATTAGAGTACCACATAAAGGAATACTGTATCATTCAACACTGCAGGTAATTTCATTTCCCTATCCTTGGTGCATGCAAATTGACAAGCAAAACTAATTTTAGTCATCCTAGTAAATGAATATCACTTCCAGACTTGGTATTGTAATATCTGTGTGATGTTATTTGAGAAAAGTCCAAGTACACACATTCAAGATTGACTTGAACCTGTTTCGGCAGGGCCTGGTTTGTATTCGGAACTGAGCTCGAATTTTTTCTGGCTCAAACTTCAGCATTCACCAGCCACACCAAGCTGCAACACTCGAGCGAATTAAGTAATAATCATGTCCTGATTAGGTGCTCAGGTAGTGAGGCTCAAGCGTAACTTGTTTTTAATAAACAAGCTCTGCTGAAGCCATCGCGAGCCGAGTTCATTCCGTACAACAGGTCTATCCGTGTGCAAGTGACATCATCAATGCAACATCAGAGTATGCCAATCGAAGGGAAGTGAAATATTTGTTCAATCAATACCTACATATTGATCTAATGGTAGAGGTTACCTAATAAATTACACTGAAGTCCTTTGTCACACTAATTGGGAGAAAACTAACAAAAACAGAAAAAACTTCATATAAGTTCTTTTATGGGAGTGTATTAAACTCTAATTTACTTGCCGTGCACCCGAGAGTTAAACTGAAGATCTCGACATTCAAGAGTTATTAACCCGGCCTTAACCTTCAAAATAAGCCAACCAAGTCTGTAACAGCTTTCGCAGAATGAAAGAAAATGAAATAGCAAATTCCAATTTCAGAAAGTACATTACTACTTGCACATATAAACCGAGCATACTTCACACACAACCAAATATTAACTTCAAAATCGGCAGTGAAACTTTCACACGAAAAATTGTAAGCAATTCACACAATCCAATTTTTCAAAACAAAAATTATTTGTATGTAGTGAGTCTAGTGACTAGTGAGTCTCACAAATTTTTAATGTTTCAATAGGACTACAAACAGTGCGCAAGACATGTGCAAGTTCTGTGAACAAATAGCAAAACCATAACAATCAAGATTACTCCAAACAAAACCATAACAATCAATATTTATTAGTAAAGTGAGAATAAATTATCACCTCAAACTCTCACGAAAATGACAAGCACTTTAAGAAGGGAAAAGACAAAAAATTTTGTTGGTGGTACCCTGGAGCAGGTGCCAAAACCAACCATTAGGCATCACCACCCTGCATGCCCCACACAGCCCCAGACAGCCCCACACCTTGTCAGCAGTACTTATAAGCAACTAATTACTGATGGTTGCCGTCCAAAACACCCCATTGCCCTCTTCCACTATTGCCCTCACTTTTGCGTGATTGGCCACCTTTGTTCGAGGAACAGCAGTCAAGGAAGCCCCCCAATCTACACCTGCAACATCATTCATCTACTTCACCTGCATACTGATCATCAGGGTGTGAACTCCCTCTCTTCTGACACTGATACGGATGGTGATGATAAAGGGTCCGGAGAAAGGGAAAGGCGGCATGAAAAACAGCAAATTCAAGTACATACAGAGGTGTGCATAGTGTTGGACCCAGTCACAGTCCCACAACTGGTCTGGGACTGGTTGTTGGACCCTCGAGACTTGAGAAGTTTCTGATCTAGAAACCGGTCCAAAACAGTTCCAGTTCAACCGAAATAGGCCTGGGCCTGTTAGGCTTTTTAAGGCTGTGGTACATGATAACATGAATTGGACTGAAGCCTTCCCGAGTACCGTATTTGTATCTAGGATACCCAACTATAGTTCCGGTTTTGAGTTTTGACATATAAGTGACCTGGAAACGGACTAGAAGCGGACCGGGACCACCCCTAGGTGTACAGCAGCGAAGTTAAGGGAAGTGGGTGACAGACACGGCGGAGGAAGTGAACGAGGCAGTAGCTAACCGGATTGTGAGCAATGTCTGTCTGACTTCTGAGCACGAGCTACAAATATAACTGCTGAATGCTGATATTATTGTACATCACTTCATAGTTTCTTTTTTGTTCCAAGCATCTACTTTATACGTAGTATAAATCTCTTTATTAGCTATTAGTGTTTCAATTTCAGTTTCTAATCAATACCTGTGTTCCAAACACAATATTCCTCATAATCAAAGATTCACTAATAACTAGGAGCAGTTAGCAAAACCAACCATCTGTCTGCTCACCCCGTGTCCACGAGAATACACACATATATACTATACTACTACTACTCCTCATCACTGCCTTCAATAACACCCCAACAGCCCCCTTTGCCATTGGAGTCAACGGGCCAAAGCCTTCTGGTATAAGGGTGGGGATCTAAACACCAAATACTTTCACAATATGGTTAAGAAGCGCAGAAGAAGAAACAAGGTGCTCGGGTTCAAAGTGGTAGTTGATAGTTGGGTGACAGATCGCCAAGAGGTTGTGGAAATAATAGGTGACTATTTTGCTAACTGGCAAAGGGGTGTCAATGGCAATCATTTTGGTAACTGTAAAAGGGCTTAAAGCATAGCATAGTAAAAGGGCTTAAAGCATAGCATAGTAATATGCATGAATGGGTAAAGCACAAATATTACAGTAATTTCTTCTATTAATTATGAAAGTGTCACTGTGGCGACAAGGTTGGTCAAGGGGATGAGGCGAGGAGGAATGCACATGCACCAATCTCTCATTCCAGATTTTGTTGTGATTGAAATGGCAGAAACAGACTTAGACAACTGGGGTGAATGCAATAGAGGGACAAGCTAATTGATTAGCAGGAGAGAGGAAGATACAATAGAATTAGGAATTTCTTAGAACTGTATGTGAGGGATATATTACTCTGGCAAATAACACTCGCTCCATTTATTAGATAGGTGACATTTTGGGGGAATAAACAATAGTGGTTGTATTATTCGGGCTCTCGTTTAAAGTTGGTTACATGCTGAATAGACTGTTTGCACTTGTGCTCGAAATTTTGTAATTTTTGTGGAATATTGCAGCAGGACAGCGCTTGCTGATGGCAACTAACGCAAATGGAATAATGAAATCGACATACAAGGGTGAGAAAACAATTAAGTACGTGTTCTAAAACCACATGTTATTTTATACTTTATTGCTTTACAACAAAAACATAACATTTAGGAAATATTTGATGAGCAGTTTTTGTTAGCACAAAAAATACAAAAACTCATTAACATGTAAAATTAATGTCACATTAAAATAAAGAACTACACACAGGAAACTGCATGCAATAGTTATGGCATATGGATGACATCAGTAACATGCATGCATGCAAAAAATGTGTTGACTGTTATCTATTGCTAATACTATTTATAATTTATTCAATTAGAGTGAGTAATCAGAACAAAAACTGCTAGTAGAGATATGTACTGAGGCTGTCACCTAAAAAGAAGCTATAGCCTGTGCAACACAGACAGACAAGAGAAAGTGAAGTACTTTAGTGTCAAAGCACATAAGATGGGCAAGGATTTTTTTTTTTTGAAACATGGGCTGATGGGCAAGGTGGCTAAATAAAGTGTTAGACAAATCGAGGTCTCCTAAAATAATGAATTGTAAGTAATCACTGAACTACTAGACAACATACTCCGTATCATAAGAACAAGGAATAGACAACATACTCCGTATTAAACAATATTTTTCAATTTTTTTTCATACATTAATAAATAAAAAGTTGTCAAAATAGAACTTGTGGATAGTGTAAAATTCAACAGTGGGTACTTATTTAAGAATGACGACAGTTTTTATTTTATTATTAGTCCAGAACTCCATTTGATATAGGGATTCTTTATTAGTTTCATGGTCATAAATTTGTTAACTACTAAGACTCTGATCATTGTGCTATAAAAGATAGCTTCATTAGTATACATTGAACATTGAACAATGCAAGCAGATTTTAAGAAAATCCCTCAGGGAGTATGGGATCTCATAAATGTCCTAACAGGATAACCCATACCCTAAATTATATACCTCTGTTTCACCTACAAAAAAAACATCCAAGCCTTATACCCAAGGTAGTCAAAAGCGCGCGCATCAGCGCTTAAGCGCACAAGGCGCAGCGAGCTTCACCCCCATCGCCTTAGAATCGTAGAAGCGCAGCTATCTGCCTCAGGCGCAGCAGAAGCGCACAAGCACAGGAAGCACTGAAGCGCTATAAGGCGCACGCTTCAGTCGCCTGAGATGGAAAAGGCTTACAGCCTTTTTTATGTTTAAAACTTTGAAAAGCAATTAGCCCATATCTTTAATAGCACTCAGCCCATGAAAAAAAAGGGTAAACCAAGTTAAACCTACGTAAAACTAAAAGTGAAGTACGTAAAAAGGTAAAACTTGCGCAAGACACTTCAGCTATCATTGCTAGCCATCCTCGCTCTTCACTCTCCTCGCTTTCCTCACTTGACAATCAGCTCTACACAAGACAGCTCTTTCAGTTTCCTTCATCAATCATCATCTGAAGCATACTCAGCTCTCCCTCGCAGCACTAAACAAGGTATGTCTTCTTTTTCATGCAGTCCTCTTTATCCAAATATCATATTACAGTATGTTAATGTATATTAGTGTAAATGTGTAATATTAGTATGGAATACTCAGTACTTAAATATATGTACTCTGCTTTGTGAATTTTTAGTATATTAGTACGTATGTAATACTCATAGTACTCTGCTTTGTGTTGTTTTAGTATATTAGTATGTATATAATACTCATAGTACTCTGCTTTGTGTTTTTTTAGTATATTAGTATGTATATAATACTCATAGACTTATTCTAGATGAGTACTTTTGCTTCAAAAATAATCGTTTGACAGAAAAACACAGTGTTTAACAATAAAAAAACACTTTTTGCTAATGCAAGAATGCAGCAAAGCAGTGCTTCAAAATGCACTTTAAATGAAAAAAAAACTTAAAGAATAAGCTATTCCAATCAGGGTCATAAGTTTTCAACTTTAACAAAATCTACAAGCATAGGTATTTAAAAGATTTTGTGTGAATACTCCCTCCTTTCAAATAAAAGAGCATCTTTAAAAACATACTCTGGGAAAAAAGAAATTAAAAAGTCCTACTTGGATAAAAGAAGCAAACTTTTATTATATTTAATGCAACTTTTCAACAAAAAGGTCCTAAAAAGGTAAATATGTTGAGCTTAGTTGACACAAAACAATGTGCAAGAATGACTGATTTCCAGTTGTAATAAAATAAAAGTGGTACCTTAGTGAAACATAACTATTTGGTGGGTGGGGGTAAAGTCACTGTATATATTATTCTGCGTTGTGATGTTTTTGTATATTAGCATCAATAGCATGTATATAATATTCATAGTACTCTGCCTTGTGATTTTTTTAATATATGTTTACTGCTTTGTGCTTTTCTAGGATATGGAAGGTAGAACAAGTTTTGTGGGTGGAGCTGAAAGTGAAAAGTCTACCTTGCGTTTGTGAATCATGACTTTATTTTGGTGTTACATCATATTTGGTAATTATGATGTTGCATACATCATGATTTAGCTTTTTTATGCATTTGGTTAAATATGATGTTACATACATCATATTTGGTAATTATAGAATAGTATATGTAATTTTATATAAGTAATGCGCTTCACCTGAGTGAGGCGAGCGCTTTTTTGCGCCTTGAGCCTCAGGCACTAGAAGGCCCCTAGCGCTTGAGGTGCGCCTTACGACTTTGACTACCTTGCTTATACCTCTGTTTCACCTGCTTGACTGCTTCAATAAAATCTAGTAATGTCTCCCGTATCATAAAGGATGCTAATGTTAAACGGAGAACCTCAAGCGGGTGAAGTTTACCTCACAGGATAAAATTTACATACGGGAAGATGAGACTCAAACCTAGTAGTCTTCAAATGTTGGGAAGACGAACCAAACCTAGTTTGTGGAATGTTTAGCACACTAAGTCTTCAAACGTTTTATGTTATGGATTTGAATGTTGGTTCTCTTTGTTACAAATGATATGATGCAGTTGGAAATTAGAAAAGGTGCAATAAACTAGTATTAAAAGGAGTTGGAACTAATTTTCATTTTCATTTTCATTCACCCAGTGCCGCAAAGGCTCTCACCTACGGTGGGGTAGGGGGGGGTCGGATGTACGCAGAAAGCCAATAATACTAATTGTTTTTAGAAAACTATGTGATGCTACATTCAAGCATAAAGCCAAGAATCCAATACGCCACATGTCCACACCTAGCCCTCTCATTATCTACTGAATACTTGATTCTAGTTTTCCATCATCTCAGCTTCAAAAATGACAGCTCACCAAAAAGTGTGCAACCCACAATAGGAACTATATCATGCAACCATTGCTATGCAGTTAGGCCATTTATAAGATGAAGGATCATTCATCATAAAAATGTCAATATGCCATTACTTTGTTAGATGATGGTAGAATGTGTAAAAAGCATGCATGCAACAAAACCTTTTCCCACTGTGACATTGTTTGTTTATTGGCGTTTTGTGGCCAAACCGCTGGAAATACCAGCGTTTTGCTTCATTAAAATAACGGCATTTTGCCCCAAACGCTGGTATCCAAACACCACCTATATATGACAGTTCCCAGTCACTTTTACCCTAGAGCCCTAATAATTAAATCTTAGAAATAAAAAATAATTACATATTTATGACGTTGTTTAAATGTTGTTGGTTTCTTAATTCTAAGATTTAATGTTAAGGGCTTTAGGGTAAAATTGACTGTAATAGTATGGCGAGTCTAGTGACTATAATATTAACTTTAATATAGTAACTTATGTTCAATTTTTACACTTACATGACCATGACATTATATTCACAGTAACTATAGTAACCACATATGTATAGTGAAGTTTAGTGACTATAATAGTAACTTATGTTCAAGTTTTACACTTACCTAATGATGACATACTAATAGTAACTATAGTCATATTTTTGTAAATAAGTTTTATTTTAGTGATATTTTTGAAAAAATCTCTAAATCCTAACTATGTTAGTATGTTAGAAAGAAAATCCTCTATTGAGAATAAAAAAAAGGAAGGCTAGAATCCACTTCACCTGCAGGAGAATGCTTAGAAGGTCGTTTTGGTTTAGCGAGCAGCAGCTGAGCTTCCATAAACATATGCATCCTCTGGACCTCAAGCTCTTGGGATAACTTCATTCTCTGCTTCTCTAATTCCATAATCTGTTGCTGCTTCGAGCTTTCAATCCTCTCATACATCTCCCCAAAATTCAATATTGCCCGAGCCAATTCCCTGTATGCCGAAGTTTCTTCTGACAAATCCGCATACTCATGTTTACGCTTCCTCCCAGTACCACCATAGAGCTGGTAATCTTCACCTCCATCGCGCGAGCTGTTATCAGAGCCACTGGAATTGAGCTTCGATGAACCACCGGAATAAACTAAAGATCTAGGGTTCAGGTTTAGGCTAGGCTCGGGCTTAAATTTGCTCATGATCGCGGCAGATTTTCTGTTAAAAGAAGACGGCTTTACAGAACCGCTAGTGCCGATGAGGTAATCCAAACGGTCGTAAAGCGACCATGTAGAAGGGGACGATTTCGATTTCTCGAGCTTGTACTTCTTCTTCAGTGTATCAACGCGGTTCTTGCACTGAATATCACTCCGCTGGGGCTTAACGCCATCCTGGCGAGCATTAACGGCGTCAGCGACCTCCTTCCAGTCGTTCTGACGGAGGTTACCTCTGTTCAGCTTGATATAACGATCGCCCCACGCTTCGACCAGAGTCTCCGTCGCTCCTTCGCTCCAGCAATCTTCTCGGCCACCGGCGTTAGTCCGGGGCTTTTTCTGCGCGGTGGGGCTCTCCATATAGCCCGTTTCCGGCGATGGTGATTGGGTTTCGAAGGACGGAGAATTTGTGATTTGCGCCCTAGATGGAGAGAATGGGGTAAGAGGTTGAGGGGGTGTTTGTCGAACATCTGACCGGCAAGGTGAACGTCAGAAGCCTTATTGGACGGAGTGGGCTGTGACTATGATAGTTTGCGGATTTTCCCGATTCATATTACCCTTTTTCGACCGGATTGGACTTGTAACACACGGAATAAAAGTGAACAATTTCCAGGTGAATAATTTCGTGTTAATTCTTGATTTACCGGCGTTTCTGCGATTGAACTATGGAAGCCGGTAGCCGATATGGCCGGTGGCTGCGGCCCGTCTGAAAGTGAAACTTCCCAATGTCGCTGATGATTCTTCAGGCCTGAAGACATAAAATATATGCAGTTCAAGGCCCAAAAGCCCAGCCCAATATGTGTTTTATGAACTGCGTGCATTTTACTCCGATAATTTCTGTATACTACTAGTTTTCTTTGATTCGGGCCTACAAGCGCACTTGACCCGCCCAGTCCAGTACTCCAGTTTCCATTTAAATCCCCACACCTCGAGTCTAGGGGTGCAAATGAGCCGAGCTGCTCGTGAGCCGCTCGCTCAATGTTGGAATCAATTTCGGTCAAACTCGAGCTCGAGCTGAGTTTAAGTTGGATCGTTAAGCAATTAGCCCATAAATGAGCCTACTAATTTTAGGCCCAGCTCGCGAGCCTAGTTTTATTTGTGCGTATACTTATATAAATATATATTATATCTTAATATACGCTAGAAATTAATATACAATATATATTAGTACATATAATATATTGGGAAAATGGAAACTAAAAGGTGGAACTATTGTAAGAAGACCGCTAAAAGGTTGGATTATTAGTTTCCATTTTCCCTAATATATATGATTATATATATAATATCGATTAATAAATGTATATGAAGACTGAGGAGATATTATTAATTATAAAGTACTCCCTCCGTCCCAAAATTATCTTCATAGTTACTATTCACATGGTCAACTCAAATTACTCTTAATCTTTTACTTTATATATCAAATTTTTATCAAAATTAAATTTTCTTGATCAGGCTTTGTAGCGGTTTTAATGTAGTTTCTGAATATGTAAATTTTATTTACTAAAAATAATCCGAGTGTGAACATGGATCGAGTTGCTTTATCGTCAGTCAAGCATCGTAAACCGAACTATGAAGATAAATATGGGACGGAGGTAGTAATTTAAAAAAAATAATCAAAGTAGCATCCACTATATATTTCTTCATGATTTGACCACTTTTGATTTTCAATAGAAGTACAATTGAGTGGAGGCTTAAAGTTAGGATTATATTTTGTTTATATTTCGTTCCCGTATCTCGAGTTTCAGTTTAATCATCATGGCTTGACCAGTTTTTATTTATTTTGGACAATATTTACTCTACTTTTAGTTGTTGCGCATGTAAATTACAATTTGCAAATGTTAAGCACAAATATTCAAAGTTTGTTCATACTTGAGCTCGAGGTCGAACACGAACTTTCGAACTAAATGAACTCGTAACTTTTCAGTTGACGAACCAAAATTATTGACTCAATCAAGCCGAATAAAACCATCTCAATATTTGCGAGTCAAGCTCGAGACCAGATTTTTTAAGCTCGTTCGAGCCGAGCTCGAGCTAGAGCCAATACAATATATTTTGAGCTCGGGCCTACATAGATTCAGGCTCGGTTCATTTGCACCCGTAATCGAGCCGAAACAATACGCACAGATTTAAGGATGTTTTTATTGGGATTGTAATTTGGTGGTTTGACCTGCTTAAGTCTGATCTAGTATGGTCTATTTAAATCTGACATGGTCTAGTCTGGTATAGTAATCGTCTGGTCTCTATCTATTTTATAACTATGGAAGTCAATTCTGATCTGGTCTGGGACAAAAAAAAAAGTGTAAGTAAAAACATCTTAAATCATTATTACGACTTCATTGATCCCAAAAAGTTAAATTTACCATAAGTATCTTTTTAAATTAATTGGGTTGGTTTCAATTTCAAATCAAACAAAATCAAACTAAGAGTCTAACTCTGAAATCGACTGAATCGACAGATTCTGCTGAAATTTGTGAAGTTCTGGTTGAATTAGTTGTATTGGTTGATTGTTATTAAAATAAATAAAATTTTATATGAAAAAATAGATAAAATGGTCGTCTGTAGTAACTTCAGTCAATTCAACCAAAAAAGTAACTCTGACTTTACTACTTCTTATTATTATACAATTTAGCGCACGAAGTGAAAAACAATCAGAACTTGCAAAAAAAAACATTCAGATATATAGTTCTTTCAAAATTTATCTAACCCTCACACTATTGTGATTTGTGTATATGATTCGATTTTAGATCGTTGTATGACTTGTATCCTATTTTAGCCTTCAAAATAGCCAATTTTGAATCAGCTGCATTTCCAAACACTACTAGTCGTTTACCAAAATCGCGTTTTTCAAGATTTTCTAATTTTTTATCAGACTATAAAATGTACTAACATTTTTACTTGATAAAATTTTTCCAAATTTTAAATTTGTAAGTCAGAATATTACTTCTTTGGAATCGTTGATTTTCAGATTTAAGTTTCTTTTCGGAAAGTTACTCGAGCATGAGTAATTTTCTAAGTCATAGTTATTTCTCTAAAGGGGACTTCTAAAATTAATTCCAAAAGTGACCTCTAAAATTAATGCAATTAAGCATAATGATGAGGTAAAAATGTTTTGTCAATTTCAAAATATGAAATTCCTACCAAGAATTTGTACTTTTATCAATTCCACTATAGAAACTCCTACTAAAAAATTTAATGCAAATAATCCAAGTTCGTAACCTGCCTACATGAATATGTTAAATCTCCAATGCGTCAAAGTCAATTCACCATGTCTTATATCCCTTAAGAAAAGTAATATAGTAATGATATAAAGAAACACTAAACTCAAGTTTATGACAAGAGTTGACAAAGTCAGGACAATATGATTATGTATAAAACATCGAAATGATTATTTAAGCCTCGGAAAAATCTCGATTAAAAAAATAACTACCTATCTATCAACTTGGTGGATAAAGTGATCGATAAACATAAGTACATACATGGAACATATCAATATATTACAATGAAAAAATAACTTTGATCTTATAATTGTAAGTGTTTTAGATAAAAGTATTAATAATTAAAGGATGTATAACATTTTATCAAATTATTTGAAAGTAAATAGTTCAAACTGTACACAACCACCGATACTTTTTGAATAACTTTTGTCATGTTTAACCACATGAATCTTATCGGTACAAAAAGTTGATTTTTGAATTGCAATTTTTGTTTACCAAAAAAGGTGTTGGTAAGTCATAAGGACTAAGGAGTTTTGCTAATATTACAATAGTATGTATGATATTATTATTTTTAGAATAATATTATATTGATAATTCTTATATATGGTGCACATTAAATTTGTATTAATGCTAACATAAGTTTTTTTATCATCAAAACATGCCTCTATTCATATCAAAAGATTCAGAATCATTACATCAAGCAAAGGGAAAATAAAACTGACATCAACTGAAACTCCAACAACTACGACTGTAACCCTATGGTGAGACTTTGAGACGGTCACCCCTGAAAGAGCAACACGAATCGCTAACCATGTAGTGGGATTGACACAACCAAACCTGTTCACATAGATCCAACTATACCCAATGACATAAAGAGAGGCTAAAAACTCAAACAAATTGTCAAAACCAACAACAAAGATGAGCACAAGAAAACAAATGACAAACAGAAAAGAATTACTAGGAAAACTTTCACGGACTCTAGCACCTCATACAACTCATGGTGGTGGTTCAGGCGGAGGTCGGACCGTCGCTCGATTGATACACTCTTTCAGTGGAGTACCCGCCGTATGACCCAAATTCATGCCATCGAATGGAGCGTTCAGCCTCTCCTTGCTAACCATGTCCTGATCAACCCTACGTCTCTCTCTTTTTTCTTCCATCATCTTCTCGCTGCCACGATCATCCATCCCGAGCTACATCCAAACCACGGCAATCCGGCGTAGTGCTGCGTCGATTGAAAGAAACGACGCACTAGGGCGGCGAAGAAAAAACCCTACGCGAGAGATCTCGCTAGGGAAACACTGACCGAACTTCGATCTAGAAAGATCGAAATCGGAAATAACCTAGAGGCGGCTCCGCCCTATGAGCTCTCTAGCATATTGCACTTAACTAGGTAGTTTTGTGTTTTTAATGCTAACATAAGTTAAACTCTATTATCTATGCAATAAATTGATTTTAGAAAATAAGAAGTAAATGAATACTTCACATGATCTAAAAATTGTTTAACTAGTGTGTCTCGTATTTAATACTATTTGATATTTTACAAATCGAGTACTAATTTATCTAATAAATTAAAGATAATTAAACATTTCAGAACTGTGAACTTTTATATCATAGGTTTCCCAAGTCTTAAACAATGAGTTCTTCTATTGTTATTTGTTTAAGTTATGTCAACTATTTTATATGTTACTTTTTTTAAATCTCCAATTAATTATTACGTAATGTAAGACTATATATTAATTTTGAAAACTAGAAGTTGGGGGGGCACATATATATATATATATATATATATATAATTAAAAATTTAATTAGATATTACATATATAGTAGAGAAATTTGAATGCAAGTGAGGCAGTCCCCCCCCCCTTAAATCCATCCCTGGTTGTGCCATTGTCGTCGAATCTGAAGAAGGAGACATGACAAGGCAGACTATCGGGTGGAAGGAGAAGAAGAGAAGGAGGAAGGGAGACGCACCTGAGCGGCGGTGGCGGAGGCGGAGGCGCAGGGCGGCTGACGGACGATGGAGGAGAGATGGTGATGGCTTGTTTGAAGAGGCGGAATACGGATGGCGATGCAGGAGACGGACGAAGGAGATAGCAACGAATTAGAGTTTGTTTTGTTTAAGGGTATTATTGTCTTTTCATATTTAAATTAGTCACATTTTTGTTCATGTTTAAATGTGATTGTATATTTGTCCATTCAAAACTCAAGAGTAATGTTTGTGTCATTCTTTCTTTATGTTTCTCAAATGAAATCCATTACACCCCAAATGTTAATTTACAATTCATTTATTTAGAAAATAGGCTCAGACAATATCCAATGAAGTGTGGTGATTATCATGGAATTAAGATGTGATAGCAATGTTCTCTATCAATTTGAGGTATTTCGGGATGGGAGTGGAGAGAAGAAAAAGTAAAATGTCTTCATTAAGATAAGAATAAGAGTACTCGAGGAGGAGTAGAGGTATGTTACACTAAGTGTGGATGGCTTGAAGATTATCGCAATATGAA